AAGAGAATGTTGAATTCTCTGGAACTGGAGTTACGGGTGGTTTGGAGCCGCTTGGGTTCTGGGAACCAAACCCAGGTCCCCTGCAAAAACAACATATATTTGCCTCTAACAGCTGAGCTATCTCTCCAGCTCCAGATGCTGTTCATATTTAAAATGATAAGACTTGAGCAGTGATTGCTACCTTAGAGACTTCTTTCAATTCTGTTTTTCTGTAGAGAAAAATAAGGCCCACAGAGGTAGATTTATCCCAAGCACCATATCAAGTGCCTGACAGTCATGACTTGAACCCATGACCATCAGACCTCCTGGCCATGTCTCCAAATGTACCCACCTTCTCCTGAGTCTGAGATGCCTCCCATGTATTTATACACAGGAGCCTAAGTACTTTGAAAAGGACTGTTAAACACCACAAGTCTTCCACCACAAGACAGAAGTATTGGTGGCAGATTGGTATTTGCAGGTACTAAAGAACTCCCATGTGCCAGCTGCCAGAGCAGGAATGAGGGGGATGAAGACAGTTCATTTCTGGAGTGTGCTGGTGACTGAGGAAGTCAGACAAGACAGCCAACTGACTGTTTTGATGCAGATTAGCACAGGGGACTTGGAGGCAACTAACCATCTTAGGGAAACTTGAAAGGATGAAACCTAATTTGGCTAAGGAAAAAGAGTAATACTGTGCTCACTGCTGTGAAAACAGCAGAACTTCCCATTGTAAGGAGTGTTCCAAGCAGAAAGTGAAAGCTGACCTGCCTCCTCTCCCTCCCTAGCAGAAGTGAAAAGGTCACCTCTTGGTCTTTGGCCTGCTGGCTTCTACATCCCTGGATACTAGAGGAGACTTTGTTTTTTCCTTCTTGGCTCTTAGGCTCTGCTACTGACTGACCTTGCTTGGGAATTTTAGACTGTTTGTTTGTTTGTTTGTTTTGAGACAGGGTTTCTCTGTGTAGCCCTAGCTGTCTTGGTACTTACTCTGTAGAGTAGGCTGGCCTCAAACTCTGAGATCTGCCTGCCTCTGCCTCCCAAGTACTGGAATTAAAGGTGTGCACCACCACTGCCCAGTGGCAGTTTATTTTCCATCCACAGATACATTCACTTGCTGTTTTCCTATGCCATCCTGATTTACTTAAGACATCAGGTGTGGCAGCAAGGACCCTTACCCACTGAGCCATTTCTCTCTGCCCCTCCACTTACCACTAATGTGAAGTGGGCAATGATGCTAATGGCATAGGCACAGTGTGTTATTATATCTATATATATCTATATCTATCTATATATATATCCATATATATATATATGTGCCAAGTGTTTCAACCATCATGACTTAGTATCTCTTGATGACACCCTATGTGTGACATGCAGTATACAAGAGCCTGTTGTATAGCCCTGGCTAGCCTTGAACTTACGGCAGTCCTCCTGCCTCAGCCTTCTGATTATAGTCATACACCATCATACCCACATTCTGTCCACTGTCCAACATATAAAGATAGAGAGCAGGAGCTGTTTTGGGAGGGAACAGAGAAACCAAATCGCACATTTATCTATGGGCCCTTCCTCTGTAAGTGGCAGCGGCTGTATCTGAACTGAGTCTCTTCTACCTTCTATACCCCGGGAGTTGTGCAAGCGCTGGAATTCAACTCCAGATGCCCACTGTGGTCTACTGTCTACTACCCTGAGCCATCCCCAGTTAGTATCACCCACCACTGCCCTGCCAAACAAGAGAGTTCATTAGGTAGGGCTGGCCACAAGTCTAGAGTGAGCCCAGGAAAGCCTGCTGTGCCCACCCCCTCCCCTGCACGACACGGGCTGCTCTGCCCTGACTGGCAGCCGGCATTAAGCATTCTACTCATCATCTCAGGGATGATGGAATCCTAACCTTTACGGAGACACCGTGCTCTGTCACAAGCATTGCTCTTTTTAAAAGAGATTAATTCACTTGCCGCATTTGTCCATTGGTGAAAATCGCAGGGGAGTGCAAGGGTGGCTTTTTCTGGCCTCAGAGGCCTTTTCAGCCACTCTCTGCAGGAGTCATCGCCCCGCCCCACCCCCAGCTGCCTCAGGACTTTGAAATGAGTGCCTGCTGGGCATTCACTTGTGAAACAACAAAATGAAGTAGGGAGATCTAGTTTGCGAAGTCCTAACTTTGGGGACTGCTCTGCACTGGGGGGACGCAGAGGAGACCGGTGCCCTCCCCATCCCTGACTCAGCACAAGAGGGAAAGTTGTCTGTGGTTAGGTTTGCTGTGGTGCTGGTGAGGTTATCTGTGGCTCTACCTCAGAAACCCACGGTGTGGCACGTCTCTCAGTCCTGACAACCACCTTGCATGAGAGCAGTCAGCATCCTCTCCTTCACAGCAGGTGAATACAGAGCCTGAATCTAGACACCAGGACCCTTGCTCTCTTCCACCACACCCTGGCTCAAGAATGCAAAGAATGATGCTCAGTCAGGAGCTGGGCTTGGGAGCTCGTCTCACCGAAGAACACCACGGTTCGCCTTCTGTGACTGAGGGGGTTTGCAGAGCCCTTCCCTGCCATAGGTCCTCACTGAACTCACTAAAGCTCAGTGAGAGGCTATGTCTACTTAGGGTGTTGGGCTAGTAGGTGGCAGAGATTAGAACTAGACTAGACATGGGGCTCCTGGCTCTTCCCTGTATTGTTTTTTTGTTATTGTTTGAGACAGTGTTTTGCTATGTATCTCAGGCTGGCCTTGAACTTGCAGCAATTCTACTACCTCCCAATGAGAGGCGTGTACTACCATGTTGCACTGGCCTTAAATTGTTTCACTAAAATGATAGCAAGTCTAAAGGACATATACACACACAAGAGTATCTTCTCCTAAAAACTAACCAGAACTCTTCACAGTAAAGACAGCCCCATATATAAGTAGTTCATAATTGTTTATCATCACAAATTAAAAACAGCAATATATCCTGTTTACTCCTTAGAATTATAATCCCAGCATGCAGGAGGCTGAGATAGGGGGTTCATGAGTCAAGGCCAACCTGGACTGCTTAGCAAGTTCAAGGCTGGTAAAGGCAACATAGTAAAACTTGTTTCAAAAAGAACAAACAAAAACAAAGAAACCTATATTGCCAAGTGTTCCAAGAAGAGGCCTGCACAGAACACCCCTGTCCTGCTGGTATAAAGGTCCACAGAGCAGTCATTATCCTGGTGGATGCTGGCACTGTTTATTCATATCATATACATCATGCCCTATGACCCAGAGGCCCCATTCCCAAGGAATGGTCACATAGGTCCCAGGAAACATGGGAGAGGATATCCTTTGAACATTGTTTTTGGTGACTACCTGGGCGTGGCTGTCCCTGGGGGAGGGAAGAGAAGAGTGTGATAAATTATTCTGGTCCCCTGTCCCTGATGTACCTAGTTCATGGCCATGGATGTTAAAGCAGCTAAAAACCCTGCGTATACATTATTTGGGTGGGGGGCTCCTCTTGAGCAAACATTTGACTTTGAAGCTTAAGAGTGTAGATGAAGTACTGGTCCTCACTGTGATTAACCTCCCTTCATCAGTCCAGGTAGAATAGAAGGTCAGGACTGGGTGGCGAAAATCTTCTGCCCTTTTCTCATATGGACATCTGCCTGGTAGATGGACCATGTTTGTATGTATGTGTTTTTAGAGAGGGACTTGCTACATTCCAGACTGGCCTAGAACTCACAGAGAACCTCCTGCCTAGGCCTGAGGATTATAGGCATGAGCCACCATGCCTGACTAAATTGAATTCTTGATTTTTGTCTTTGATTTCCTGCCTGGGTCCTCCTAGAGCAGACCCCATGTCTTGCCCATATCTTGAGTCTAGAACAGGACCTTTCCATTGGTTGGCTGAAATCAGTTTCGTCTTCACCTTTTGTGTTCTATGAAGAGGGGTACTGTCTGGAGGTAGGCTGATTAGTTGAGGAGAACCCATTACCAACTTGCCATGTGACCTTTTACTTACAAGTCATTTTCCCTCCTCACCTATTACAAGAGTTTACTATCTGCTCCTTAAGCTTGTAAAGAGTAAATAAACTCAGGAACAAGAAGTTCCAAGAGGGCAGGCCATGCTCTACAAGGTGTTAAGACATGGCGTTGTTCACCTGTCCCTGTCTGACCACTGTTATAGGAACCAGGACCCAGAATTCAGATTTACATTGATGTATTTTAGACCTTGAATTTGTTGGTTTACTTGACAGTCAATGGACTCCTATATGCTAGGCACCTGGCATGTAGATCCCTAGGTGTGCATGGGTTCTAGTGAGAACCTGACTTAGCATTTCTGAAATTCTTTCCATCTTTCTTTGGGTTGAAGGATTTGTATTTTCCAAACAGCCATGATAAAATAAATACAGTTGAGGAATGTGATCTTTTTGTGAACAGGGAACTATCTGAATAAGCCTGTTAGATCTTCTGTGCTAAACACAGGGAAGTTAAGGGAGAGGGTGTGGTCACCAAGTTTTTTTCCTCAATGTATGTTTTTATTTAAATTAGAAACATGCATGCTTCGCATGTCAATCTCAGCTCCCTCTCTTACCCCTCCTCCCTTGTCTCCCTCCACTGGTCCACTCTCAGCCCCCCACCCAATCCCCACATCATTCCCCAGGGAGGGTGAGGCCCCTGGAGGCAGACTTTTGACATGGCAAAGGGGCTGAGGTTTTTGGCCCAGGGAAGTAGAAATGTCATACTATCACTATTAAGATAGAGAAGGCAAATTCCCTTTCAAAAGGCTTGAGAGGATGACAGTAGGGAGCTGGGAATGAGAATGGCAAGGGGCGCCTCTGGTGAAGAGAGTGATCTTAGGCCAGGATTGGGGATTAGAACTCAAAGGACTCTGTTTCCAGATTCATCCAGCCTCCATACTTGTGTTTGTCTGTTCTCTTGACATAGTGTTCTCACTATGTTATCCACGCTGGCCTTGCACTAACTAAATGTCCTAGGTACTTTTCTGTGATTATTTACACTCCTGTCCATGATAAGCCACACCCTGAAAATAATCTTCTGTATCTTGCCAGGCTGTTGTCAGAAGGTGCAGATGTCAACGCCAGGCACAAACTTGGCTGGACAGCATTGATGGTGGCAGCCATCAGCAGAAATGACAGGTAAGAATCACCTTCCATTCAGGGCCCCCTGAGACAAGTCTCCGGCTGCTTGCCCACCCTTGCCCCTGCTGTCTCCTTCAGAGGCAGGAAGGCTGAGGCAGGCAGTCCAAGTTGTGGGATTACATCAGGGATGTGGGGAGTCACATGTGGTTTCTGATCACAGCAGTACCGTTCATTGCCTTTGTGACCTTAGGCAAGTCACTAGTGTTATCATAGCAGCCGTGTGTGTGTGTGTGTGTGTGTGTGTGTGTGTGTGTGTGTGTGTGTGTGTGTGTGTACCATATTAAGAAACCTTCAGTTACTGCCTCTATTGAGAGGATCTGGAGATTTTCATCCCTTCCTCCTGTTGGTGGCTGTGATGTTTTCTCACTACTTTCCCCTTCATTCAAGGTTATAGCTATTAAGTAAAGATTAAAAGTAGGGACTGGAGGGCTATCTCAGTCACTAAAGTACATCAGGACCTAAAAGTTTGGAGCCAAGTATATCAGTAAGCCAGTACTGTGAGGATTGCAGGGACAGAGACAAATAAATCCCAGGGACTCTTTGGCCAACCACTCTGAGTCAATAAATTGTAAGATTGGTGAGATAAGGATCCTGCCTCAAAAAGTCAGGTGGATTGGGCTAGGGGTGGTGGCATAGATCTTAAATCCCACCATTTAGGAGGCTGATGGATCTCTGAATTTGAGGCTAGTCTGGACTACATAGCTAGTTCTAGACCAGCCAGGCCTATATAATGAGACCCTGTCTCAGAACTTTAATAAATAAATCAGTGAACCTAATATTTGCCTCTTGCCTCCATATAGGCATACGCAGGCATATGTACATACACAACACACACCAGAAGTAGCATAGGTAACTATTTGTAACTTTTATTTGGGTGGGAAGGGTCAAGCAGGGTTTCTCTGTGAAGCCCTAGTTGTCCTGGAACTCGCTCTGTAGACCAGGCTGGCCTCAGATTCTGAGATCCACCTGCCTCTGCCTCCTGAGTGTTGAATTAAAGGCGTGTGCCATCACGCCTGGCCTTATTTGTATTTCCTAGCCACCCCTCAGAATATGAATTGTTATACGCATTTTGCAGTTGAGAAAGTTGAAGTCACAAGGGCGGGCTAACCCAGCATGCACAGTGTACATTCTCTTCCATGTGTCAGCACTCCAGCCCAAGCTGTCTGGCTCTGTCCCGGGGTCTCTAGAAGTCTGGTGGGATGAAGTGCGCAGTCATTCCAGCTGTAATTGTATGAAAAAAATTATGCAGCAACAACCAAATGTTTTTAGACTTTATCATCCCTGATAAAGCCCTGAACCTAGGGCTTCAGGCATGTGCAACAAGCACTTTACCGTTGAGACACACCAGCTTCTACAGGGATGCTTTCAGAGAAGTGCCGGACCCTTTAGTAGCAGCTACTCAAGCTTGTAGTTGGAGGCACCGATTTTAATTCTCCAGTCAAGCACGTCTTTAAGGCTCTTATTGCCAGTTCTGGCCACTATGGAAGAATCTGAAATGTGGAGAAAAGCCACAAATTGGGATTTTCAAATTTTAGGTGATCTGCTTCAAATCACCTGAAGACATAGCTCTCCTTGGTATAACTCTCTCTCTGTTCCTATCGTGAACTTGGTCTGGGTCACTCAGTTTTCTTATTTGCCGTCTCCAGCCCCAAGCATTTATTCTTTAAAGATAACAGATAATTGCTGATGTTGTAGCCCAATGGTGGACTGCTTACCTGGCATGCTTAAAGCCCTGGATTCAATCTTGAGCACCACAAAAGTAAGAAGAAGGAACTATGTATACTTTGCTTTTGAGAGAATTCAGTGTGATTATGTGTTTCTCTCCATGAGACATTATTTTTTATAAACATTCAGTAAATGTGTGTTCTTGGACTTTGCTAATCTTTGAAGAACCAAACCTTGGGGAGTGGGACTGGAGTGATAGTGGTTAAGAGCTCTGGCTACTCTTCCAGAGGACCCAGGTTCAATTCCCAGCTCACAACTATCTGTAACTCTTGGGTATTGGCACCCTCAGAAATATATGCAGGCACAGCACCAATGTATATAAAATAAATAAATACAATCTTTAAAAACTTGGGGTGTTCACAATTTAATATGGGAAGAAAGTGCAAGTAAAGAGAATAGGACAGTAGGTGATTTGGATGCAGGATCTGCAGGGTGTGAGGTGGGTGGGTGAAGAGATCTGTCTGGAAGCAGAATAAATGGCTCACTATTTCTTACGAGACAAATTAAAAAAATGTGTCTGCTACAGGTTACAAATGGTGAGTTGCTACTCTCTGGTGCCCAAGTACACATATTATCTCTTTATGCCCGAGCACACATGTTATCTCCCACATTATTTTCCACTATTGATTCTACACCCAACTACCCATTGTCTTGCCCAGTCTGCAAGTTTTTCCATATGTGGGGAAGAGCCAGTGATGGTGAAGCAGATGGTGTGTTTCTTCTGTGTGTGGTATTTCTTCAGAGTTGGGACTAAGTAGGAAATAGCATTCTTCTGAAGAACACTCTCAATTAGTGACCAGATAGCTAGAGGATGTGCTTTTGGGGACACTGCTCTCTCTCTGAGTTTAATGAAGTGCTGGTTTAACTGATTGCTTTGTCCTTCTCCAGGGGCATTAGCAAATCAGTGACGCCTATTGAGCAAAATGAGTGTTGGCTTTTACTTACTTGGCTTCTAAGACTATTACTAGTTGGTTTTGGATTTTTTTTATCTTCGTAAACATTTTTCCATACATATATATTATGTTTGTTATACATTGGGCATAGCCTTGAACTCTCCCTTTGCTTTGTTTTGTCTTGTAACTAATGCTGGAAATTGAACCTAGGGTCTTCTTTTGGGATGGAGGTTCAGGTTGAGAGAGGGTCTCATGTAGCCCAGAATGACTTGGAACTCCTTATCCTCCTGCCTTAGCCTCTTGACAGTTGGGATTTAGGTGTGTGCCACCATGCCCAGCCTAATTACTGGCATCTTGTTTTTAAATATGGGTGGGTAAAAAGGTTATATACAGTGTGTACATACATGTGCAGGTGTACTCCTTGATGTATGTACAAATGGAGACTAGAAGTCAATGTTGGGCCAGGCAGTGATGGCGCACACTTTTAATCTCAGCACTCAGGAGGCACAAGACAGGTGGATCTCTTCCATTATCCAACTTTTTATTGAAAATAGCACTTGTCTGGTTATGTTTATTTATTAATGTCACAAAAATTGGGGTCCCTACTTTTTGCTATGTCCGTGAAATAATATCAATGATAAACAGATCTCTGTCATAGAATTCTTTGACAAAGGTATTAAGGGTAAGCAGAGAGGCACTGCCCCTTCATTCAAGGCTGACGACAGGGAACTCCTGCTTCCTTTAGATGTTTGCAGCCTGTGGACCAAAGAGAGCCCAGTTCACCCTCAGGCATCAGCTTAACATGTTAAGTCCATCGGGATCTAAAACATAATCACCTCAAATCTTTAAGGAGCTTAACTGCTCATCAGTTGAGATTTCTGAATGCATTTATTTTATTTAGCTTTGAATAGGAAACGCAGTGTCATCACTGTAAATTTTATAAGTACACACAAAAGCTTAATTTAAGATTTACTCCTTTGTTTTATTTATAAAAAGGTTTAGAAGTGACTTAATTAAATACAAATATATATCAAAGACTTAAAACTGGATCAAGATCAAAATAATATTTTTAAAAGGAAAGATAATTGTATCAGGATATTGAACCAGAGGCTTTCTTTTCTAAAAGTAGGTTATTTGTGTAAAAATAATATTGAGAAGAACGTGGCAGTCTCTTGAATTCCTTCTATCTAGAGATTAGTTCTTGAGTCATAGTTAACGTAAGTGGGAGTTTGCTGTATTGACTGTAAATTAAGTAACTAATAAAGCTAAATATCAATTCAGAGTTTTGGTTCTTGTGGAGAGAGGCACCTTGTTCTGAAGTTGTTTTAATATTACATCATACACCCTGCAAACCCTTTAAACCCTCACATGTCAGGTGCTGATGTGCTGAGCCTCATGAACATTCAAAGAGTAAGCAACCACAAGTTTCGTTCTAAAACACATTACTTGAGGGAGTGGGAAAATGGTTTGGCCAGTAAAATCTGACTGCATAAGTAAGAAGATCCACATATAAAGCTGGGCAGCACAGTGCATCCACCTGCCTGTAATTCCAGCTCTGGTAAGGCAAAAATAGGCAGGTCCCAGAGCTTGCTGGCCTGCCCTGGAGAGCTCCAGGGTCAATGAGTGATCCTCTTTCAAAAACAAGGTAGAGAGCATTGAAGAAGACATTCAATATCAGCCTCTAACTTCCACACACATGTGCCCATGTATACATAGCACATTCACACACACAGTTTGACTGCTCATATCAAGGACTTGAGTAATATAATGGCCATTGTCCTCAATAGCCAAAGACTTACTAACACTCTACTGGACCATCCCTTAGTCAGCCCTAGTAACAGCTTGGGTAGAATAGTAACAGTAGCAGTCACTGGTTTCTGAGCCCTTGATGAGCCTCCTGCCACAAGGCACTTGTTTAGCCTGAGTCCGGATGCCCGATTCTGTGTTGCACTCTGACCCAGCCAAACTAAAGGCTACGCCACACGGTCCTGGGATGATCACTTTGACTTAGAATAGCCTTCACCAGCTAGTGCAAATATATGGAGCTTTCAGTGAAATTCAATTAGTCTTTCTCTAAGAAGGAAAAGAAATCCAATTTTACCAAACATGGACAGACGGTGGACAGCACTTTGATGTTACAACCTCTCAGTGATGCTTTACTTAGTCACAAGTTCATAAGCAAGAAGGCTTAATTACTTGGGAAAACACAGGATTAAAGCTGGACACAATGTCTGAGTATCCACTGTCGAGCGACTCGATTCGAACCTGTGCACCCAGTTCGTGTGTGGTGAAAACTTTGATGTGTGGGATGACAAGCTGAAAGTCATGACCTGCTTGGAGAAGCTCCTTCAGATGGCAGTTGCAGGATATGTAGGCGGA